TTTTCTTGTGTTGGAAAAATGGAGTTTGAAAATTGGTTCCGGGGGGTGTTTTTTTTTGTTTTATTTAGGTTTTTGGGTCCCAATTTTTTGGGGTGGGAGATTTTGGGGGGGGGGGGGGGGGTATAGGTAGTTTACTGCCAGGTTTTGGTCCGGGTACCCTTATGGGAGAGCTGGTATCTTTTTTTGGGAACCCCCCAACCCATTTTCACAGGAAAGGGGTGCCATGGGGCAGGGCATTCCGAGCACTTAACCTGGTGGTCATTTTTAATAGGGACCCCGGATGTGCCCCCCGTACGGGGCTTGCTTAAAAGGGGCTTTAATTTCAACCCCACCACAAAAATTGTAAATTAAAAAAGGGTTCTTCCAGGGTGGGGGGGGGGGGGGGGTACCTTGCTGTGCGGGATTACTTTTTTTATGTGCACCCCTGACCCAATGAAAGAAGCCACGCACGCACGCACACGTCCATAACCGGAGACAAACCAACCGACCCCACCCCAAACGCCGTGGTATGATAGGCACGCATTTCCTGTTTGGTCGGCAGTCCGTTCGTCCACACGACCGATTGCTCCAGCTGCGGACAGATGTGCCGAGCTTGCTTGTTGCTCGGTGATACAACCCCCCCCCCCGAAATGCGGCAATGGATATCGATAGGATGTGTGTACATAAGGGTAGGGAAAACGTTTTTGAGCCATCATTGGCAAAGTAGGGAGGAACATCGGCGATGTGTACTGCAGTGGGAACAATACTCCGTCCTCTCGAGGACGCGTGGTCAATGGTCTAGTCGCTAAGGTATGCAGAAGACATGAGCATGCTCCCCTCCCTCGCTCCTGCGCGCGCGTCCTGTGTTTTTTCGCGCGCTGAAAAATAAACAAAAAAACAGCAGCATCAGCGGCGTCGGCATTGGCGTCGGCAGCGGCGGCGGCCGTTCGCGAGCGGCGAGCTACGGGGGTAGTGACACGGTCCACAGAGAAGAAACCGGCCAGGTTTGTTTCTGTCGTTACTATGTAGGTCTGGTCCTATCGTATCCATGTCCGCAGGGAAGCAACCAGCCAGGTTTGTTTTTGTCGTCACTAGGTTTGGTCTTTTCGTATCATGTCCGCAGAGAAGAAACCGGCCAGGTTTGTCTTTGTCGTTACTAGGTCTGGTCTTATCACGTCATGTGTGTGTGTGATTTGCTGAGGTTGCGTAAGGTATCACATACACACACCCTGCTCTGCTGCTGGACCGGGAGCGATTTTCAAAAGCTCAACGTTTTGTTTTTACTCTGCAGCGAAGAAGACCACGGTGCCAAACAGCCGAGACAGGCGGCGGCTGGTGAACGAACTGTCGGGCCTAGAGCGAGCGTTCCGAAAGCCCCTCCGTTTTGTTTTGCAGCATTCTCCCTGGTCGTGGAGTAGTAATCGAGCTTTGAAAATCGTTCGGGGGGGGGGGTGGTATTTTACGTGGCCTACGGTAGTGCTGCCGACGGGCGCCGACCGTTGAATCGGGAGCTTTTTTCTTCTTTGCCTAGCGCTTCCCCCCCGTCCCTGCTGCCCCACACCCTGTACATCCAAGGATCAACACACCTGGCGGGCACCTTTTGGGGGGCAGGGTACAAGATACAGGAGGAGGACGACGTAAAGAGAGAGTCCCTGGGCTTTTGGAAACGCTAACTGCCTATCTATCTCTTGCGCCGCACCCCCTCAGTTTTGGCTCACTATCCCCCCCCCCGC